TAACATGATAGTAAGTTCTGCTTTTATCCCTAATTGATGAAACGCATGACAGAAAACCTCCATGAACTAAGTAACATTTAAAAATAAATTTATATTATTTACTCTTATGTCTGATAGATTATATATAAATCACAGCTTTTCTTATAATCCGTCACTGGACTCCTAAGGCTTTAGAGTAAAATAAAATTGTTTACCACAGCCTTCTATGCCCTATGCCTGGCTCCCGCCTACCTCTGTGTCTCCCTCTCCTTCTCGCCCACTCTGTGCTTCAGCCACACAGGTCTAATTTCCTTGAACAGATCAAGGGCAGTCCAACCTCTGGATCTTTGTCTTTGTCTTTCACCTAGAAAGCCCTTCTCCATGACCTTTGCACAGCTGGCTCCTACGGTTACGCAGTGCTCAGCTCAGAGAAGGCTTCTTGATTGTCCAATATGAAATAGCCTTTTCACTCTTTGAAATAAAACTAGTGCTACGTAGATACTGCTAGCCTACTACATGATAACCACAGTATCAAATATCCTTTTATTAATGTTGAGAAGATGAATGAGTCTCTGGTCATTAATAGTGAACACTTCTGGCTCCCTTGTGAGAGCAGTAGGTGCGTATTTTCCTATACTCACCCTAGAATTGTCCATTTTTACCTAGGTTTGTATAAAAAGACAATTTCTATCAAACAGAAATTCAGGAACTTTCTCTGCAATAAGCAAATGGAGAAATGAGCTTTCAAATTTATTTTCTTAAATTTGCGAGTTTGGAAGAACCATTTCTAATCCTGGCATTAAATTATCTGAGGATATTATACCGCCTAATGAAATTTTTAATGAAGGATAGGATTATCAGGTGGGTTGTAGCATTTATAAATTGAGGTGCACTAAATTCTCCAGATGTTAAAATAATAATTTATATCCAGTGATGTGCCATGGAGCCAACTCAGACCGGCTCATATAAGAACTGCTTGTTACATTTTCAGGAATTTTGTAGGTAGGTAGAGTTTGCATTAGTAACTTGAAATTGGATGTGGTGGGAGTATTTATACCATGGAAATTGGCAAATACCACAAACCAGGGCTTTCTTTCTTTTCCCTGGAGAGCTAGTTTACCGGCACAACTGTTATATACAGCTAATATTTTAGAGGCTGACAATTTGATGACAAATCAGTAGGGCTACCATGAAATAACCAAGTTACTTTTATGGATGTTTGGATTTTAAAAGCCACAAATTTGGGGCACGGAAGAAAATGTTTTTTTTTTAAAAAAATGGATTATTTGTTCACAGACGCAGACAAGAAGGATCAGAAATCAAGATCTTTGTATTTGCTTCTTACACCTCCTGGGTCAGGCTGCTGATTTCTTGAAAAATGTTGTTAAAATATATACTCTGGGTTAGAGCAGATAGCCACCTTCTGGAACCTGTGATAACAGCTTTCCTAGCTCCCATACTGATAACACAGTTCAGCTGATCTCATATGGAGCATCGTATCTTAGTGACAGTGAGTGTCGTGGACTGTTTCTTCGGGGAAAGGAAAAGAGTCACAGAAGATTTAGGTGGAGGCTCTGGTTGATTATAATCTATACTGTTGGAGCAAGTGTAGACTAATGAGAGTTGACCTAACGCCCTTCAATGGCAAGGGACTTAATGGAAAATTACCCCAAGAGGTGGGGCTTTACTCACTGACAAGAACATCCCTGAGTTACTACACGGAGGCTCAAGATTTCTATCTTGTTGCAGAGATAGATTATTTGTGACAATCCAGAGGAAAACATGTTGTTGAGCAAAACTCGTATGAGGAGATAAATAAGACGTAGGTCCTGTGTTTCTCAGTTTGTTTTAAGGTGACCCAAAAGCATGTATGAAAGCCTCAAGTTTGTTTTTGGGGAGACAAATTGGTATCAAGTTGTTTTCCATTTAAAATGAGACTGGAGAAGCAAAAGCAGCCTGAAATTCCTCCCTTCTCCCTCCCCACCCCCACACTTTTGATGAGCACTTGAAAATACTGATAATTCCAAGGGGTTGTGTTAAATCTCATTGTGTCCTATTTTGACTTCTCCATACAATAGGCTAATAATACTGTTTATGAGATGGGAGAAAGTGGCTTTTCTCAATCATCTTTGGACTAAACTAATTATGTTCTTGGAAGAGAGACTTATTTCTAATCTTGCAACATTTCTAGGGCTTATATTTTTAATGGAGTGCTATTCATATTTCCCAAAGGATGTTACCATGTAGCTAAACATGTTGGGATTCTGAGATTGGTAACATCCAGTCTGTATATTATTAGAAAGTAGGAGCCCATTGATGGCCTCATTCTCTGATCCAAACAAAATAAAGGAGCTCTTAGTAAAGAGAATATTATCAATTTGATTAAACATAAAATTGGTCCTGGTGTTTGGAAAAATGTAATTCTAGAATAATAGAGTGCAGGAATCACTATGAAGGTACTACTGGTGTTGTTGAGGTCAGGAATGGTGACGATAATTAATAAAGGAGATCTCTTGTAAATCATAGGTGGGGACAAAGTTTTACATCTTGTGTTGAAGACTCAAGAGAATCAGCTCTTTACTTCAGGAGAAATAAAGTTTTGGCAAGCCAGATTAAAAAACAACCATACAACTAAATAGCCCTATTAAACTAATGTAAAGGTTACAAACAGATTTTTAAAATAAAGTCTAATCTGAAGTCCTTAACCACTGGCCATCCATCACCATCTCTTTATTAGGTGAAAATTCCTGCCATTCATATTTAAATACAGGCCACAGAAAGAGACTCTATTAAAAAGAATATCTTTGAATATACAAATAACAGTCAACCAGCATTATATATCTATATCTAAGTAATTATTTAAATGAGCAATAAATAGCTTTCTATTTTTCCTCATAGCATAATTATTTCATAAACTACCTTTAAAATTAAAGATTTTTCAATATAAAAAGCATCCCCATTCTAGAAAATTTGATAAAAAGAGAAAAGTAGAAAGAAAAATAATATAATTCTGTCACCAAAGGCAACTGAAACCAAATGCCAATGTCTTATTTTCTGCTGATATTATTTCAAGTAGTAATTGTATATTCTATTCCCTACCCTTCCTATTACAACTGCTGCAATGAATACTACTACGCACTTTGTCACCCACCATTTACTGTAAGTGACACTATATTTTCACTTGTCCTCACATACAATTCTGTCAGGTTGGTAATTCTTAAAAATGCCATTTTACAAGTGATAAAATGGAAATTCAGAAAAGTAAGATCACCTGCTCAAGGCTTAATAGGTGGCAAGGCGCAGATTGGGTCCTGGATATAGTAATAACTTCAAAGACTATTTTTTTTACATTTCATCATACACATACTTTCTTATTCTAAAGATAATTCTGTATCCTGCATTTTTACTTTAAAAATAGTCTAAGAATTTCCCCATACCATTAACACTCTTTATAAACATAATTTTAATTACATTATAGCAGTCCAATTCTGTGAATAGTTTCCATATTGATGAATTTTCAATTGTTTTTGTTTTTTTATATATGCCTCTTTATTTCTTAAACCCAAATCATTATAAAACATGGTGTGTGTAGGCCAGTCCAGCCACACTGAGGTCTAGATAAAAAGCCACCCAGAAGTGGGCAGGGCTAATGCTTCGGTCGGTTTCCCTACTGCGGGCTGTTTCCCTGACAGCTACTTGCTAAGCAATTGTTCACAACGACCAGCTTGGAGTCACATGCTTTCCAAGTGAAGACTTTTCATATAAAATTCCAAATGTGTTGCTTCCCCTCTCTGTTGCTAAAGTCTTTGCTTTCACCTTATCCAATTTCTCAGTTCTCTGACAGTATTCTGATTGTATCTCCTAATAAAATATTCTAAAATTTTTATTCACATTTATTATTTATGTATTTATTCATTCATTTATTTTTGTATCCTTGGAAGTCATTTTGGAGCTTATTATCCCATTGAATCAAATTATCACTATTTTTTAAGTTCTGCAAAACTTTCCTGTTAAACGCTGAATCCCAATGATAGACTAAATATTTTTCCCACTGGCTATCCATTTAATCCCATGTCTAAATCATGTTGTGTTTGACACAGCTTGTTCCGTAGAGGTTTATCTTTCTGGTTACCTCAGTTTTAGTTGCTTGAAGAAATAAATATTCTCTACAGAAAGATGGGGTATGGATAAATAACTGCCAAGTTTCTACCAGTTGTTTCAAACAGCTGATTAGGAATCCAGTTCTTGCAATTTTTTCTTGACCACCCATACTATAACCATTATTGTGGTAGACAGACACTGGGTACAGAGTAGAGAAAAAAATTTAAAAAATGATTCCTCCCTTCATGGAGCATAAAGTATAGTGGAAGGGGCATAGTATGTCCTGATGTTCTTCTATAATCTATAAATACAGTAATAGTAGTGTTCTGTAAAATGCTGTATTTTGTTAATATTCTTAAAATAAGTTGCAAACTTCAATTTAAAATGTTTGTCCAGCCAGCCTGGCATGTCTCAGTTGATCACTGACCTATGAACCAGGAGGTCACAATTGGATTTCTGGTCAGGGCACATGCCTGGGTTGTGGGCTCCATCCCTAGTAGGGGGCTTGCAGGAGGCAGCTGATGGATGACTCCCTCTCATCATTGATGTTTCTCTCTCTCCCTCTCCCTTCCTCTCTCTGAAATCAATAAAACGTATTTTTTAAAAAAATGTTTGTCCATTGGTTTTTCCACAATCTTCGTGGCTATTCAAAAGCATTCTAAAACAAAATGGAATTGTATGACTTGCTTGTTTGTCACATATTCATTATATGATACTTTACTTAACAAAAAATTTCTCAGTGCCTTTCCTGCAGCCATGGAATTGCTTTGTTCTCAGGCCTTTCGGAAAAGTGTTGGATTCCTAACGAGAAAATGCGGCCGCAGTGTGCTGGAACACTATGGTCTGAGGCTCTGCTCGCCCTCCGAAGCTCCGACAGCACTTGTCAGATGTGCTGGTAAATCTCTCCTTTCTTGCCCTAGGTCCAAGGATCTCATAAAGGAAGCCATCCTTGACAACGACTTCATGAAGAACTTGGAGCTGTCGCAGATCCAGGAGATTGTGGATTGTATGTACCCGGTGGAGTACGGCAAAGACAGCTGCATCATCAAAGAAGGCGATGTGGGGTCACTGGTGTATGTCATGGAAGGTATGGCTGTCACTTTGCTCCTTTGAAAGTCAAATTTGCCTTTTCGTCGTATCAGCCTGCACACGGATGACATGAGACAGTTTCATTTCTCCCTTTTTTGCTGAGAAACAGTCTGAAAAGAGGTGGAACACTACTTAGATACTAATTGTATGAAGTGCTTGTGTTTAGAATATTAATATGAGAACCTCGTATTTTTTCAGACATCAGGGAAGTATGATAATATGAAGGAAATAAATGCTATTTATTGCACTGACAAGACCATAAGCCGTCAGATCACTGAGCAGGCTCTCAGAGCTTCAAGGGAAGCTCAAGTCTGTTAGAAAGAAGTATGTTTGGTCAGATAGTGAAAGTGTCTTCAACTCCACCTTTAACTTTCAGTGTATGATTATGTTTTCTGCTATGACACTTCCCTAAAAAGAGAAAGGAATGTTTTCAGTGTTTTATGTGTGTGTGATAGAGGCAGAGTATAAAGGTTGGATGGCATTTTAGCTGTCTAATTAATAAGAATGATGGCTTGTTTTCATAAATCTCACACAAACTAAGATAGAAACTGCTTTTAAAAAAACCGAGGCATGCATTTTGTAAATATGTTTTATGCTTAAGTAGATTTTCATAATGTGTATATCTGACTTGGAGTTCATAATGACATGTTTTCCTTTTGTGGGAAGAAGGAAACCTGGAATAATGACTGTTGATTTCCTTTCAGTTGAAGTCACTACAGTGACCGTAATCTTATAAACTGATGCCGATCTGACCCCAAGCTGTAATTCTAGCCAGTTCAATGTAACTTTGGCTGATCCTGTGCTAATATCCTTATGCCAGAATAATTTAAAAAAACCAAACCCTGCTGTTTAAATATTTATGTTTTAATTGAGGAAATGTTTCATTGTTTAATTAGTTTTTTAATCAACACATTCAATCTCCTCAAAATTTAGATAGCAATGTTCTTGTTATAGGCGGCTTCTTTTTCTTCTGGGAACATTAATATTTATAAAGGGTATACCATAGCAACAATGAATGAATAGTACAGAGAGGATCTTTCACATACTTGCGTATTACCCAGGCATTCAGAAAAACACCCGAGGAGTTCACATGGAAAATCAGTCCAATTTTTCCTATATCTCTTCATTTAAAGGAAGTGTTCTTCATAAAATGCTTGTCTAACATGTGCCTTAAGTGATTTTTGTTGTAGCCTGGGCAGTATCCCAAGTATTACCGCATACCTAAATGCCACCGTTTCTCATCACTTTAACAAAAGAGAATATTCATATGGTAAGACTTCACTAATTAGGATGACTGGGGAAAATCATCTGGAGGTAGTGTAAATATGTTATTATGTATTTTCAAGTAAAATGAATTGTGTGACTTTCAGATACTTAATTGCTGTCTAATAGAAGAAGTTTCAGTTTCAAGTTTTAATCAGAATTATTTGATATTAGTTGCTTAAGGCAGCAGTATAAGTAGATTAAGTTGCTGAAGCTCTGTTTACATTTTAATTGTTTTGAGATATATAAATGACTCTTAGAAAATACTTGAATAGAATTTATTTTCTTAAACAAATGGACGCAATAGGCCTTAATTATGATGTAACATTTCTTAATATCCTTACAACTCTTCTCCTCCCCTTTTTTAAATTATAAACTTCACTCTACTATCATCCAAAACAAATTTTGATTTAGTGATTCAGAATTGGTGATGTGAATAAAACATCTTTTTTTTGGAACGGAAGCTAATATATTCCTACTAAAAAATGTCTGTTCATATTCCTTAACATAGTGGATTTGCTTAGAGATATTGGTTTTGTGTGTTTTCTAAGATCCTTCATTGTGGACGCAGATAGAGTACATTTTTTTTTTTTTTTTTCTAAAAATGGCAAATGCCTGTTTAGTATTTTTTGACCATTGGCTGTTTTAAGTTAAACTTTTAAATAAAATCATCCTTTTTTTCCCCATGAGATGCTTGTTAATGATAATAGCTTTTACTAAGTACTTACATTTGCCAGGTACTGTTCAATCACTTTATGGGGATTAAAATATTAATCCTCATGACAACCTTAAGAGGTAGATATTATATTTGTCTACATGTTAATAGATGAAAAACTGATATGTTGATAAGTTAAATAATTTGGCCAAGATCATACACATAGTATGTTGTGGTGAAAATCTTGGCCACCTGGCTCCAGGGTTTCTGTGCCTAATGTTAACTTTCAAAGTATGCAGATTACAAGTATTGTTGGCACATTTTTGTTGTGGAGAGCACAGTCTGAGAGCTCATAAAAGATGCACAACATTAATCCATAAGATAAAAAATGGTTTGATTATTTGCAAGAAAACAATAGAACTTGAATGGAAATAGTACAAAAATAAAATCATCTAGATGTTTCCTATAAATACCTTTCAGGCTTTTCTGCACCCTTTAAACATTGAACTGCTTACTGACCTTTCTATAGATCATCTCCCGTCCATTCTCCTCCTCCGTAATTCCTTTCTTCTTATTGAGAAATGGCTGTGATTTGGCTTAATCTTGGTCCACCTCTGTGTCACTGTTTAGGACTAAACTCTCCGTGTACTTTGAAGGCCCTATTTTTTTTCTGTCTACAGTCAATAGTATTGATTTTGTTTTTCTCACAGGTTTAAAAAAAAATTTTTTTTTAAAGAAGGAACAATTCTTTCAGCTCATCACACAATGATTATTTTGATACCACTTTTGTACACTAAGTGATCTGTGATTATTTACATCAACTCTTATGGACTAGACTCATGTTTCTGGTTTCACTTTTGTCTTCTGAAAACTGGTCATCTGCCTCTTTTTCCAGTGAGTTGGTTTGTACCAGGTCTGCCTATTAGGCTCATGCCTGCCACTATTTCTTCTTCAACTTGGACATGAATCATGCTAGCACCATCGACAGTAAACTTACACAAATTCATACTGCAAATTCTATTTCTCCAGCCCCCTAAAACACCTTACTGTCTTTATGTAATTAAATAATGTACTGAACAAAGGCTGATTCAAAGAGGGATTTTTATATAAAACTGAACATTAATGATGAGCCTCAGTCAGTTGGCATTCAAAACACTACCTGAGAGCAAGAAGGGATGGAATGCATTTTCATATAAATTAGTTCTCTCAGTAAATTTAACATGAGAAACAGACCGTTTTATTCTCCCAAGTCAGGTGTTGCCTTTTGACCTTATGAGTTTTTCATGTTAACCTGAGAGCTATCTTCAGAATAGTTGAAATACCAGTGCACTTAAAGTTCTTTTTGCAGTTCCTTTATAGGACCAAGTTTATAAACTGATGTACTATTCATACAAAAACAAAGCAAATATCTATTAATGAAAAACTGTCATAAACAAAGAGACTCTGGAGGTATTAAATGTGAATATTGATGTATATTTCAGTTATGGAGTTCATGGTGAAGACAGGGAACTGAGATATTTAGAGGACATGTGGGAAATCATGTTTATTTTGGGGTACCACCCTTCAAAAAAACTTTAATATACTTGAGCCAGTCTAGGAAATATAACACATATCTTAAAAAAATTGACATCATTTCATGTAGAGATGGAAGTTTTAGGAGGAAAGGCTAACTGCTTTTAAAATGCTGAGAGACTGCCCAGCTGGGTGTGGCTCAGGGATTGAGCGTTGACCTATGACCCAGGAGGTCACAGTTCGATTCCCAGTCAGGGCACAGGACTGGGTTGTGGGCTCGATCCCCAGAAGGGGGTGTGTAGGGGGCAGCCGATCAATGACTCTCCCATCATTGATGTTTCCATCTCTACCTCTCCCTTCAATAAAAACAAATATAAAATAAAATGCTAGGAGATGGTCACACGAAAAGGGGATCTGCATGAATCTAGATGACCACAGAAGAAATGTGAGTTATAAGAAAGAAGACTTTAGAGTTAATATTCTGTTAATTAATATGTTGCTAAAGCGAAATGAGCAGCCTGATGCGATGGCCTGACCTCATCTCAGGAGGCGTCTGGCAGTGAGGACACACGTAGCATCTGCATGTACAACCTTTGGGTGGGTGGAGGAGGGATTCCCTGTGGTTGGCTCTTCACATACCTCTCGTCCCTTCTCCAAACTCCAAGATTCTGTTTGCGGGTCCATGAATGGATATCCTACAAGTTAATTTAGGAGGACCCAGCCTTCCAAAGGTTTCCTCTTCAGTATCTCCCCTCTGTGGAATGTGCATGTTTACTTTTCAGAGTTTTTGTGCTTTATATTGTATAAAACTAATAAGATGGCATGTATTTTTCTGCTACTTAATTTTTACTGTTCAACATTATGTTCTGAATATATCTCAGTTTATCCTTTCCTCTGTTGATTGTATTTGGATTGTTTCCAGGTATTTTGCTTCTGATCACTAATGATATTGAGCATCTTTTTATAGGTTTATGTGCTCTTTGTGTTTCTTCTGTGAAGTGTCCCTAGTATTCTTCCACTCGTTTTTCTGTTGGTTGGTTGCTTGACTTTATACATCTTGGAGCTTGATCCTTATCAATTACATATATTTGAAATATCTTCTCCCATCTATAGTTTGCATTTTGACTCCTTTTGATATATTTTGATGAACAGAAGTTATTAACCTTAATGCAAATATAGATCTTTCTTCTTTTTGGTGTGTGCTTTTGGTGTCTGGAAGAAATTCCAGAAGGCAGTACTTCTCATGCCTGTGTATGTGTGTAAGTGTATGAGTGTCCATGCATCGGTTAGGTATGTTAGGTATTACCAGTCAAGGAATATATCCACAGTTATAATCTAAAATAGAGTTGTTCTTTTCAAAGTAGGAATTTGGAAAGGCAATACATTTTCCCCCAACATATTTTAAGAATTTTTTATAAGTTGTCCTCAGGGGACAGTAAATATGTTTTTAAATATGCTTGATAATAGCAATTTCCTTTTTCTGTGAGGGTAGATTTTATGTTTGGAAATAATCATGTCATTTAGTGACAGATTTAATGAATATAAGTAGGTGATTAGGCTAAGTAATA